ATTATCTTAAGTATATTTTACAGTACAATTCCCAATATTGTAGTACAGTGAAGTGAAATAATTAAACTGGAGAATCACTAGTATCTGTAGTGGTATATAACAATATAATTCAACATTTATCACTAATCACCGAAATATCATTAACTTCAAATATATATTACTCAGTACAATATATCCCCACATAAATTCATTATAATTCCAATACTGTATTTTGATTTATCATACAAATTATAAAATACTCGTAAAGTGACCTCCAGTACTGGCTTATGAACTTGTCAGTGGCTTCAGGAAGTAAGGCAAATTAATCCAAAACGCCCAGAGAAAGCTGATCATATGAAGACATTATTATTAGTACAGACGATTAATTAAACAGGGTAACACAAATTAACATAACTGTATAAGTAACTATGCTTAGTATTTCATTACAATACAATGCCTGAAAATGTTGTTATTCTTTTCAGCTCCTTATCTTAAAATTCACATAGCAGTAATTTACTTAGTTAATTTATTTTGCTTAGTTCCCACATATACAGTTTATGTTGTTTGAAAATCCCGAGGAAAAAAAATCAACTGTCTATGCAAGAGCAACGTGTCCTTTTCGTTCATTCCTTTGTGGACTTGTTGAGGGCTTGCATTATTCTTGAAGAGAGGTATTCTTTGACAGTCATAGATTTCTCGGTGGAGGAACTGTCTAGAAGCTTAAAAGGGACTTGGTGGTCTGCGTGGACAAAGTAATTGGTTGTGATCCTGGGCACACTCCGCTGTAACTCCTCGGCGGAAATTATAACTCTGTGCAACTAAAAAGAAAAAGACAACATTAATAAAGGTCACCGATATTTCATGTGAAATTACAAATTTTATGAATTCAACGAAGGCGGATATTAACGAAAAATATTTAAACATGTTAAGCATATATGAGTTCACAACCTCTGGGTGTAGTAATACAAGCTTTCCAGTTTCCTTGAAGACTGAATAATTTAGGAGGTGTTTTTACATTATGAAATTGTCCCTGTACCTTACTCTTGGTTGATGTGCTTCGTGGTTTCGTGAAACAGTGTTAGTCCACTAGATTCGGAATGGTTGGAAACACTTTCGTCCAGCGAACTACGAGAATTTTAAAATGACCAGTAATTTAAGTCTTATTCCTGAATATATTTTATAAATACATACCTTCTGCAGATATTAATACTGGTACCAACATATGACGATGCACTGTCGAAAATATCAAAGCATTTCGTTCAGTCTTTCAAATTGTAAAGACGAGAAAAAAACGATATTTTCTGGGGGGACCTGCACATACCTGTCTTTACCACCACTGATTCAGATCCAACTCCATTACTCTGTGGTACAATTCGTTACACGGTGTTAGAATTGCTGACATCATCAATTACATCTAAAACACTTCACTCTCTTCCTTTCCTCACCATTCAAGCTAACATTCACTTTCAGCTCTCTCTCTCTCCTTTCCTCTACCCATTCATCAACATCGGAATTTTTTTCTTGATCCCCATCAGAACTGTGTCATGGAAACACCAGCCAACTCACTTCCCCATATTGCTATCTACTAAACTGCTTCTATTATCTCATCCATAACAATAATGGACAACGAAGAGAGCATTAAACAACATCTAGTTTATAATAAAAATAAATTTATCACCTAAAAGGATCCACACAAGCAATTAATTTAATAATACTGAAGAGTATAAACAAGAAAACAGAGCAACTTACCGGGGCGATGAACTTGTCTCCAGAGTAGGAAACGAAGAATTCTCCTGCTAATAGAATGATGGTACCGGGGATGGGGTTAACGTCAAGCCACGACCCTTCAGTGTCTTGAACCTGAAGGGACAAAGACAGTGAGAAAGACAGTAAGAAGAAATGGGACTGTAACTGAGAGAAATTATCGGCATGATTCGAGAGCTTACAGTAAAGGGCCATTCACACAGTAGCCTACGTGATCACTTAGTGGGCAAGAGGACTTTGTAATTAAGGACGTCATGTTAATGAAGTGAGAAGAAAATAGGTTTCAGATGAGATATTTGTCATAATTTTTTTTAATAGTAAATACATGGATGCATATTTGGAAAGAAACCTTCCAAATTAGTTTTCATTTTTTAACACTTGATAGCTGATAGAGTGCGTCAAAGCAGCATCTAGACCCGAGTAGTGAAGTAGGAGGTAAGTTAATTCTGGGATTTATTTTACCATCAAAGCCATTATTCAAAAGTTCAGGTTCTTGCATATTCCTAGTTATGACGAAGGGAAGTTTACTCTTAAGGTGCCACAAGATGAGGGAGTTGTTGAAGGTGACTTTGGGATATATACAACAGCCTTGGCAAAGGTTTCACTGTATCAAAAGTCTTATGTCGCTTTTCAGATCAAATGATGTACAAATAAATGTCATAAAATAAGGATTAACTGAACAACATTTTAAAAAAATCGAACAAAATACAACACTGTTTTTAAGAATATACCTGGGCGGAGGTAATGAAATAGGGCATCACTTTAGAAACCATATATTACACACAGCCTTACATACACCAGTTTATATTGTATTAGAGGTTTTTGGAGACTGATTCATTAGTTGACCTTTCCGTATAATAATGATACTATAAAGGCAGCACTTTAAAATAAACAATCTTATCATTCATACATACTAGTAAACTCAACCTCCTTCCTGATTCTCTTGCTCAAATATCTCAGAAAACTAAATTTACAGTGCATCTTAAAAAAATCATGACAATGTTTCCTGCTGTCTTTAACTAGAGAGTTGTAGCTCATAATTTGTTAAATGTCATTTAAATAGTGTAACTACTAACTTTTGTACGCACTTAAAGACCTTAGCTGTTGAAGTTATACAGTATTAAAGACATAGAATATTTCAAATCATTAAATTCTTCATTCATAGCTATTTCAATTTCTTCTGTACCCTGATTACAAATTTTGATAAAGTCATGAAATAAATATAATTTATGCTAATTATATGCACTGGTCAACATAAAAAACATTCTCATGGTTCTGGATCAAAACAGTCTGATTCTAGTGTAATTGTATGTGCTGAACTCAATTATGACATTCGTATAGCTGTATCAGGCTCAGTTTTCCAGAACCAGCGTATCTATATATTTAGTGTACCATGCTATTCATACAGTAATTTATATGCTCATTGGCTCCACTTATGCAATTATTTTGTCCTGATTTGTGCTTTTATGTTTGTTTCAGTTTGCTGATTCATGATATTGCATATCTACACCTGCATGATTTGTAATTACTCTGAAATTAACAAAACATGGAACGTCGCAAGTGTGTGAACGGTGCTGACAGTTTTTGCTACATATGTGGTGCCTTCACTCCTGGTAGCCTCAAGAAACCAATCACAAAAGCTGTTGGACTGAACTACAAAAGTTACTTCAAATGTCATTTGGGTGACCAAGACAAGAAATGGGCACCTCATGTAGCCTGTAAGTCTTGTGTTAATCACCTGAGCGAGTGGATGTGTGGTAAACGAAGTTCAGGAATGCCGTTTGCTGTACCAATGATATGGCGTGAACCTAAAGACCACAGTAGTGACTGCTACTTCTGTCTCACAAATATTAAGGGAATAAAAACCAAGACACGAGGCAAGGTACAGTACCCCAATATTGCTTCTGCAATCCGACCAGTACCGCACAGTGCTGAACTTCCAGTCCCAAATCCACCGACTGAACAAGAATTGAGTGATTCCGATTCTACCTTCTACCTCAATGGAAAACGACTATCAGGATGACTGAAAATACCAGGCCTAAACTATTTACTCAAGAAGCGCTTCATGATCTCATCAGGGACCTAAACTTGTCAAAAGAAAAGGCTGAAGTTTTGGGATCCAGACTAAAGCAGCGTAACCTGCTAGAAGATGGAGTGCATATCACTACAGCGCGTTACCGACATAGACAGCTGTCTGCATTTTTCAAGATGGCAAACAACCTTTGTTATTGCGAGGACGCAGTATCTCTCATGCAACAACTCAGCAAGTCTGAAACATACAAGACAGAGGATTGGAGGCTGTTATAGACTCAGGAAAAGACTCTCTGAAAGCTGTTCTTTTACACAATGGCAATCGGCTTCCATCTGTCCCAATAGCACACGCAACAAAAATGACTGAGAGCTATGAAACAATGAAAATTCTGTTGGCCGCTATAGAGTATGAGAAACACCAGTGGAAGATATGTGGCGATCTCAAAGTCATCAGTTTACTACTGGGCCTTCAGAGTGGCTACACAAAGCACATGTGCTTTTTGTGCTTGTGGAACAGCAGAGCTGATGCAGAGCACTATGTGAGAAAGGATTGGCCGACAAGACCAAGAGATGCGCCTGGAAGGTTTAACTGTGCTCACAATCCGCTTGTAGATCCAGAAAAGATATTTTTTCCTCCACTGCATCTAAAGCTCGGTTTGGCTAAAAATTTCATCAAAGCTCTGGATCAATTCGGTACTGGGACTCTATACTTATCTCAGAAACTAGGTGGTGTGGTTTTCGAAGCCAAGTTGAAAGCAGGTGTCTTGAATGGACCACAAATTCGTATACTAGTTAATGATAGCGAATTCACCAAAACATTGAACCCACTGGAGAAAAAAGCATGGGAATCATTTGTCAATGTGTCAAAGAATTTTCTTGGAAACTATCGTGCTGACAACTACAAATAAATCGTAACAACCATGCTTCAGAATTATCATGCATTGGGAGCAAGGATGTCCTTGAAATTGCATTTTTTCCACTCTCATATTGAATTTTTCCCAGGTAACCTTGGAGACGTTAGTGATGAACACGGCGAAAGATTTCATCAAGATATCGCCATAATAGAGAGCAGATATCAGGGACAATTCAGTCCTAACATGATGGGCGACTATTGCTGGACACTGCAACGAGAAGAGAGCAAGCTGTACAAGAGAAAGAGTAAAGTTCAGAAGCACATTTAGAACTTCATATTTTGTCATTATAAAGGATTTGAACTTATGTTTTTTGGTACAATTCTTTGAGCTTATCTGTGATAGGTTTAAAATTGTATACTGCATGACGCGATAATGTTACTATATTTACTATTTTTTTATTCTTTAAAAAAGTAGGTCTGATGGTAGAATGAAACATCCAATTAATATTCATTAATATGAAATTAGTCATGAAAGCACAGTCACATGAGATAATCTCATCTTTTGCACGACACGTGATGGAATATTAAATATTTGTACCTATTGATTTTTTTATAAAACCTGGTCTGATAGAACAAAACAAATATCAGATTCGAATTCAGCAATATGAAATTAGTTGTGTGAGCATGATCTCATATGTGAACCATTTTGGCTGTTGACTAGTGTTATAGAAACGAGTAATACATGACGTCACTTTTACCTAAAATTCGTATAGAATATGTCCAATATATACAAGTGCGGGGCAACATCAGTTCTCAGAATATGTCTATTTCGTCCTGTAAAATCATAAACTCACTAAAGAGTCATCTCGGTCACTTTGGATCAACATAAAAATACCTGGAGGCCGCCTGTGTTGTCCTGAACGATGAAGGATAGGGTGCTATAATCTCGATGGGCGCCAAAACGAGTGGTACCTTCAGCAACAGTGGAGGGAACAGGGGGATAATAGTTGACCCGCATACTTGTGCTAGAGTTGGCAGTCCCCCTGTCTTTATGTAATGAGGCAAGGTAGTCGGGGTCCTTACCTGGCAGGGAGAGAGTTGCATCAATATACAAAAATTCACAAACTGAAGGAAACAAATTGGATCAATTTTTCCATTACATAATCTACTTGATTCGGTAATCCTGGGTGTGTGCGTTATCCTTTTGCGTCCTTCTTGGTGTCCCGTACAATTACAGCTCGGTATTCCATGGAGAGTAGAGATAAGAGCAGCATTGCACAAGCGGCCGTCATCTAAAAATATATCTTCCTACATTTTTGTAATGGCTTCACCCCACTAAAGATTCACAAGAGGGTAACGAGTATTTCTGTTTAGGTTAGAAGATCAAATCTACTATAGAATTCAAAATTCGTCGACGTAATTTTATTCCATATATTCCAGAATTTGCAAGATGAATGTTTTCTAAGTTCCGGGAATTCTCGATAGATTGATGAAACTGAAGTGTGACTCGCTGCTTACTTTTCCCGCCTCACTAAAATTGTCCAGAGAAAAATATTATAAGTAGTTTTTCCAGATTATAAGAAAAATATGTTGAACCCCGTTTAGAGAACCTGGAAACAATGTCATCCAAAAAAACTTGCGTAAACGAGCCGATGAGCACGTCGTCCACTTTAGATATTTACCAAAAATCAATTGTTTCAACTTCTGTGCGGTAAAGATTTCAAACTGCACGCCAATCTCTTCCCGTTTTCTCCAGGGGTATAGGGAGAAGGCATTGATTTGAATCTTAATTTAGATCAGAGGTTGAAGGCTTGAGGTATAGTTTATACCATGTTAAAAGGGTTAAGATAACCTGATCTAGAGTACAAGGGAAATATGTTAAAAGGGCCTATTTTTATCATAAGAAATACATCTTAAATGCACCTTATAGTAGACTCATAGAGCATCAGCAAGTCATAAAAGAGCATTTTCTAGAGTACATGAATATCAAGTTAAAAGTTTTCATTTTACCACAATCTTGCTTTATATGAGCTACACATGGACTCTCAGTTTATACACTATCGCTCACTTTTTTTACGGTGTCAAGGAAGTGTAGAACATACGTAAAAAATTTAAACGTGTGTAGACTATTGTAATTATTATTTAAACTGCAATTTATGCTTGAATGTACAGGAAGCGAGACTCAGCCATGACATGACATCTTTAGACGCTCGGTACATTAAGTCACACTATTTTTTTACGAATTAAAACACTACGCTTTCTCTCCCATCAACATTGATTATTCAGGGTCTCTTATGAATGTCTTTCTATTGCTGTTTAGACAGTCTGTCTAATATGTTGTGCGTAGTGTCAGGTAACACCGTTTTGCTCATTATTCTCTCTCTCTCTCTCTCTCTCTCTCTCTCTCTCTCTCAAAGTACGCTATTAGGTCTTCTATATAAAGGATCGCTGGGAATCATCACCATCATTATTATTTATGTCGCCTCCTTCTGTCTTTTCCAAAATATCTCTAAGTTGTTTGAGAGAATGTATCTGCACATAGTGGCTCTAAGTATAATCTGTCCGTAACTGTACTGTATATATCGCAGCAGGAGTCTCAAGGGTCTGGAACATATCTTCTACAAATCACTTTTTCATTTGACATTCGGGGTATGTATGGCTCCATGAACGCTATGGTAGAGTAGCAGTACACTCTCAATACTGCGGCTGTTCGTACAAGCTTGTCTAAATGACTGCCTGCTAGTTTTCTTTCCTCGCGTGATGTTCAATTATTTTTCTTTCGTGGAGGACGAGTTTTCCTGTCCACTCTATGATGCTCTAAATAATTCATCTATCTCGCCTTTTTTTTTTTTACCATGAACGAACATAAGTCATCAGTATAACGTGTTATCTACATAACGCAAGTAAATACTTCAATGAAACTGACTAATTTATCAAACAAAATGTCGCGTAAGTCGCCAAGTATTGGCCACTATATGCAACTCACTGTTCTGAAAAATTTTGATCAAACAACGAAGTAAATTGCGACAACCCTTCGAATTCCAACTTTGAAATGAACAGTCTATAATCATGGTGAGTTTCCTAACCTTTAGTTATCGAATGTAACTTGCTAGGGGAAATAATGTGAATAATAGTCATGAGGCAGACACCAGAAGCCATGGTGTATTGGCGGCTTCTGAGTAAACACTTCAAAGGAAACGCAGTGTGGAAGAAAGGTAAACACAGAAGGGAGAAAGACTTAAAAGGAGCTGGGGAATATGGAAAGAGGAATTAATTACTTAAAATTTTATTAGACATACCTGTATGTCTATTATAGAGACAGAGGGCATTATCCAGACACCGTTGCTACCAAACATCACAGGTGTCCTCAGGTTTCCTTCTGTACTAACACGAGACAATAAAGTTCATAATAAAAAGATCAGACCAACCCCCTAAACGGCCAGTAAGCTGATAGATGGTGAAATGATCAAATTAAATTAAGTGCAAGGTGGTGGAGGTGTTCACTGGTTCACTTTCTATTAGTTTTTCTTCTCGGGAAAATTTACTTCCTCTGTCTCCTCCATTGGACGATTAAGTCACGGAGAAGTTCATCTGCCTAACCTTGAAGTGGATACCTGGCTCAACTGTGATTAAGGACTACATACCTAGGCTGAGGGATAGCGCGGTCATGATCGTATTGGAGAGAGCCCTGTAAGACTTCAGAGAGGCTGTCACAGCGGGCTTAAGGGATGGAATCTCTGGTTCATCAACCACCCCATCTGTCTTCAATACAAGGCCTTCATGCAGCTCATGTGTCCCACTGCCATAACTGAAAGCGACTTTATTTAAATCAAACGGTGGAATTTTTTTTTTAGGGTGTCGAATAAATTATTTGTCTACTTACTTTAAATGCTTCAAAGATGCTTGAAATATTATATTACTAAAAAAATTGTTCTACCTGATCAGATGACCTCACTTTTCTGTGTCCATTGCTATGTACCCTTCAAAGGTATCCATGTCAAACGGGCATCGGTTCTTCTTTTCTAATTCAGTGTTAAAGAAGGCGGCCATTGAGTCAAAGAGGAGACTTCGCTGAAAGTAAAGATAATGATTAAATGAGGTTCCTGGTGACTAATGTAAGCATGTGTAGTTGCGTGGGTGTCATGTTTACATTTGATTATATCACACTTGCTAAGACAACACAAACATAATTATACCCAACACCAAGGTCACTCACCTCGTCCTCAGGAACACCAAGGTCACTCACCTCGTCCTCAGGAACACCAAGGTCACTCACCTCGTCCTCAGGAACACCAAGGTCACTCACCTCGTCCTCAGGAACACCAAGGTCACTCACCTCGTCCTCAGGAACACCAAGGTCACTCACCTCGTCCTCAGGAACACCAAGGTCACTCACCTCGTCCTCAGGAACACCAAGGTCACTCACCTCGTCCTCAGGAACACCAGGTCACTCACCTCGTCCTCAGGAACACCAAGGTCCTCACTCGTCCTCAGGAACACCAAGGTCACTCACCTCGTCCTCAGGAACACCAAGGTCACTCACCTCGTCCTCAGGAACACCAAGGTCACTCACCTCGTCCTCAGGAACACCAAGGTCACTCACCTCGTCCTCAGGAACACCAAGGTCACTCACCTCGTCCTCAGGAACACCAAGGTCACTCACCTCGTCCTCAGGAACACCAAGGTCACTCACCTCGTCCTCAGGAACACCAAGGTCACTCACCTCGTCCTCAGGAACACCAAGGTCACTCACCTCGTCCTCAGGAACACCAAGGTCACTCACCTCGTCCTCAGGAACACCAGGTCACTCACCTCGTCCTCAGGAACACCAAGGTCACTCACCTCGTCCTCAGGAACACCAAGGTCACTCACCTCGTCCTCAGGAACACCAAGGTCACTCACCTCGTCCTCAGGGGTCCTCAAGGTCACTCACCTCGTCCTCAGGAACACCAAGGTCACTCACCTCGTCCTCCAGGAACACCAAGGTCACTCACCTCGTCCTCAGGAACACCAAGGTCACTCACCTCGTCCTCAGAACACCAAGGTCACTCACCTCAGGTCACTCACCTCGTCTCAGGAACACCAAGGTCACTCACTTCGTCTCAGGAACACCAAGGTCACTCACCTCGTCCTCCAGGAACACCAAGGTCCTCACCTCGTCTTCAGGAACACCATGGTTACTCACCTCGTCCTCAGGAACACCATGGTTACTCACCTCGTCCTCAGGAACACCAAGGTCACTCACCTCGTCCTCAGGAACACCAAGGTCACTCACTTCGTCCTCAGGAACACCAAGGTCACTCACTTCGTCCTCAGGAACACCAAGGTCACTCACCTCGTCCTCAGGAACACCAAGGTCACTCACCTCGTCTTCAGGAACACCATGGTTACTCACCTCGTCCTCAGGAACACCAAGGTTACTCACCTCGTCCTCAGGAACACCAAGGTTACTCACCTCGTCTTCAGGAACACCATGGTTACTCACCTCGTCCTCAGGAACACCATGGTTACTCACCTCGTCCTCAGGAACACCAAGGTTACTCACCTCGTCCTCAGGAGCACCAAGGTTACTCACCTCGTCCTCAGGAACACCATGATTAGTGAGGTAAGCACAGCCAAATTTGGTGAAAGCTTCATAAAGCTCCCTTGTAACCCTCTGCCACTCCTCTTGGGTGGGCTCCGTGTCCTGCCCCAAACCTGTTGGTGAGGAAGGTCTTTATGTGTCTAAGACCTTCTCGGGGTCCAAAGGCCCTCAACTGGTACAGGTACCGTATAATCGCGAAAGCAAATTTCTGCACAGACTATTGCAATCTATAGAGGTATACGACAACTTTCTTATCGTAAACATCCCGAGGCTAGTAATTTTTTATGAATGAATCAACCATTGCTCACTTGGCTTTAGTTTTGAAAATGTAGACTGTTATTGCAACATTAATTTGGTAAAACTATCAATATATAAAGAGTACGTGAAGTAAAGGGATTGCTCAAGCCCTTCAGGTAGTACCTGGTAGAGCAGTGATTGATAATATTAATATTAGAAAAATATCTCATCTGTGTATATATGTCAACTTTACAGTATTTTCCAATGTTCATTTTGATTTACCCGGTTATGAAATCACTTTGCAATAAAATACAGAGGTAATATCACGATGTCGTAACAAACACCTCGTCACCATGTATTTTTGCCATGTAACTGAACATCAAACAGTATGTTATACCGAGGCATAATTTAGTATTATAATTTTTGTGAACTAGATGTTCTGATTAATTTCTATTCCAAGCAGCAGTTGTTTTGGTAAGTTTGGGGAGATTTTCTTGTACATATTGATGTATTACATATGTAAAAATTTTCTATAATGCATTGCATCATTTTTTGTTATGATTTGTTCACGTATTGTATCATTCTTAGTATTATTTATTTACGTATTGTAAGCCTAGATCATTCTAGAACTCTACAGACATATCTCGTTCCAACCTGCAACGCCTAGATGGCACTAGGATGCTCTAGGCGTCTGAGGAGAGGTATATAAACGCCAGCAAGGTGTCTGGTGACAGGGTCACCCGTTTCTGCAGTGTGTGAAGTAAAAGCCTAGTGACAACTAAAGATAATTGTTCGAGTATTGTGGAATTGTTGTGAGCAATATAAAGTTAAAAGGCTAAGGAATTGTACACTAGCAGTGTGCTGACTGTATATTCGAAGTGAGAAGTCCAGTGATGAACAATTTTGTGAAGATTTGTTGATCTAATTATTATAGAAGACTACAGTTCACAAGTGTGTTTCTGTGACCTGGTGGAAATCTACCTGCCTGTTGTTTATCTGTACACTGATACCAATCGTCGGGAAATCACCGGAGACTGGCGGGACACCCACTGGTAATTCGACGACACTTGCGAGGTATCTACTGCTTCTGGACATAATACTTGGCCGTTAGTAGTGGAAGCTGGCAAGCAGCGAAAAGGAGGGTCGTACCAAGTAGTAGCGAGTTGTTGAGCATTATGATAATGTCGTGTGTTATGTTCCAGAAATCTTGTGCCAAGTTCTCTTGAAATGTGTTCCTGTATATTAACGTTGCTTTGTGGTTACTGAGTTAATCAATTCAAACTATCACGCTAATGTAATTCAGAGATATGTAAAATAATTCACACATGAACGCAAGTGGTGACGCAAAAACACTACGAACCGAGACATTAGGATTTGGCTGATGATTGGGACTTACCGCCGTATTATACTCTTATACTGTAAACAAAGTGAGGGTCCTTCAATTGAGGCTACTCAATCTTACCCTTAGTGTAGGTGTCCAATGTTCCCGCTATTATAAAACATCAGATCTCGACCCCTCATCTCCCAACTGGTGTTTGGTAATCCTGTCCAATGATTCTATACTCTAGGTTTAGGAGGGTGGCTCACTCACTGGTAATTTTTTTTATCCTCCCGTGACGGTGGCGTCGCCAAGCACATTGAGGGAATTGTGCCTCACATGATACAGGTATTGTGCGATAACACCAGATATTTAGGAATAATCTCTCAAAGCAACATTTCTCAAGATATCTATAATAAACAAGCAAGAGTTAGATTAAGTAGAGTACAACCACAAAACCCTGTTGATCTTTATAAAAGGAGATAGAGCAAAAATATATAAGAATACTTCACTCTGGTATTTTCATCACAAATTTATGTTTCGGGCTATTTTCCCGTCTATAACGAAAATGGCACATAACGTATGCTTAGACTAAGCTGCAACTAGCTCCAAACGTAACTTTGCGGAGTGGTCTGATAAATTTCAAAATGGTCACCGCGGCCGTTATACTGTTGTCATGAAAGAGTTATCAAAATCCTCCCACCGTTGTGTCATCTTGTCTCACTCAAGAACTACTTAGCGGTTATCTTTGGAGCGAGTATCTGGGAATGTTATATTGTCTCTAGTTACTTAAGCGGAGTGATACTCACCCAAGGTCAATATAGACAGCTGACCCAAGTCGATCACCGGCAACTTTGTGGTTGATACTTTTGACGTCATTCTCCACCGTTTCACTCAGTACTCTGTAAATGAAGGTGATAATTGTTAAAAGCGATGATGACGTTGAAAATAATTGAAAAGTTGAAATACATAAAACGATCAACTAACATGATTTTTATCGATAATTCATAAGAATGGATGAAACTGCAACGGGCCTATTGGCCCATGCTGGGCAGTCCCATTTACACCCAACCCCTATTGCTCATATATCCATCCAACCTATGTTTGAAGCTATCCAGCGTATTCGAGTTAATGATGATTTTGGTAACTTGTTCCACTCATCCACTTCTATTTCCAAACCAATGTTTACCTAACTCGCGCCTAAATCTAAATTTGTCTAATTTAAAACCATTGTTACGAGTTCGCTCATGGTTGGATAGTTTAAGTACCTTTGTTATATCACCTTTGTTTAGCTCTGCCTTCCCTTTATACACCTCGATCATATCGCCTCTCACTCTACGTCTCTCGAGGGAGTGCAAATTAAGATGCTTTAACCTGTTTCTAGACTCAAGGTTCCTTATGCCCGGGATTAGTCTTGTCATTCTCCTCTGAATTCTTTCTAGGGATTCCATATCCATTCTGTAGTACGGTGACCAGAATTAAACTGCGTAATCCAAGTGAGGTTTCACAAGCCCAAGATATAGTTTCAGGATGGCCTCGCTAGTCTTATAACTAACACTCCTTTGTATAAACCCAAGTACTTTATTTACCTTGTTTCGAGCAAATACACATTGTTTACTTGGTTTAAGATCCCTACTTATCATTCCTCCTAAATCTTTCTCGCAGTCGGTTTTATCTTAACATCGTTGTTCATCTGGTATCTGGTTTCTCTGTTTACATCTTCTAAACTAAGTACTTTACATTTGTCCACATTAAATTTCATCTGGTGTAAGTATTTGTCATCAAGTGCTGATTTCGTTTTAAGGAATTAAACATCCGCTGTAATGGATATTATACAAAAACATTGTGTAGTGGACATCATAATAAAATTACTGTGACGTGGAGATTACAAGAAAGCTGTGATATGGCGGGCATGACGTGCGAGTATTGTGAGTATGGGCCAATAGGCCTGCTGTAGTTTCCTCCATTCTTATGTTCTTATGTAAGTGGACTTAAGGTAACTGTCGTTAAGGCCACAGAGACACTGAGGTTATCAAATAATATTCCACTCGGACCGTACTTCATTTGTCTAAAACTCTCTTTAGGCAGTGATTTAGGGTTCGTTTATCTTGCATAATAATGGAACAATCAGAAAAGTTTTGCAGAGCTCACGCTATCCAGTGTTGTCCAAGACCACAAGAAAGCCCAGTGAATATAACCACCGGGTAGGTACAGTAGTACGCAGCTACCAAACAGGGAGGTACTAACGCATGGCAAGATATTGGAAGCCTAATGTGTTGTCTAATGGTAGACCCTGCTGCCATATGGCATCACAAAAATTGTGACCAAGTCCCAGGTTACTGATCTAACTTTCTGCCTCATTTACACACAATTGCAGTCTCAATTGCTTCTCATACTATTAACAACACAACATACATACTGTATATTGTTTCTCACTATTGATCTTTTTCTTTCATTTTTGTATTTCTTTATTATTATTATTATTATTATTACAGTGTTGTTATTATTACTATCATTATTATTTTTTTTCATTTTTTTATATATTATAAATTTAATTTACTATGAATATGTTATTATTACTATTATATTGTTATTGTTATTAATACTTATTATTATTATTACTATTACTATTACACCCTCCCCCCCCCCAGGACCCGATGTGGCCTGTGCCCGGGTAGGCTAATCCCCGTAAAAAAAAAAAAAAAGGGCTCATCTGAATATCTCTTCAGTACATGCTTGTAAGTTAAAGATAATATTAGTAGATTCAGTGAAAGTGACATCCATACACAGCCCCCCAACAAGTAAACTTAAGTATTGTATTAAAGTAGACCAGGAAGTTGGATTCCAGATATTAGGAGAAAATTGAGAAATTATACACATGCAGTATAATTATACACACACGGTATAATTACTCTCTATTTTGTACTGTATATTCCCGAGAGATCCAGCCTTGAATTCATCTGATGACATTTTAAACCCTGACTATATTTCTGAAGTATTCATCGTTGAATGTTCTATTGTGTTTGCTTGTATATACTGTACCACGTTTAAATGTAAATAGTTAAAAGTGAACAGAATAACACAATGAACAAACAATCTTAACTTTAAGGTCGCTGTGGAGAAAGCAATTTATATTTAGTCCTAAAATGTGGAAAAACTAAATCAAAACAATAGCCTTCGTGTGTTCTTAATATTTACGTGTTTCCAAGTGTTTTTCATACTTGTTTGTCTCGTTTAAAGTTAATACTACATCATAATTTCCTCTTTAGGCACAGTTATTGTCACTCAGAAATAATGAAGTGACAAACTGGATATTTTTTTCATTCACTTAAAGATCACTTATAGTACAAATAAAATTATAACTTTAAACAACGTGAAACTCAATAATTGAAGCCAAATATTTCGTATAATTCTTCTCATCAACGAAAA